TTTCCCCCCTTCGCCAGCCCCCTCCGCTCCACCCCTCTCTCCCCTCGCCGAAGCTCCCACTCCCTCTGCCTCTCCCTGGCCGCTGCATAATAATTCACAGACCCCTTCTTCCCGTTCTTACCCTGCAACTGCATCCCCGCTCGTGACTCCGTCACCGACACCACGGGTTTCGCGCCATATGTCACTGCCGCAGTAGCTGCCGCCGAAGAAGACGACGATGATGAGGATGAAGATGCCGTTGCGCGCCGAATGAGTAGCGGTGGGCGCTTGAAGAGTGGCGTGCTGTCATTGGAGAAGAAGGCTTGGCGGGACCCTGAAGCGGTGGTTGACGTTGTGGAGCCGGAGGCGGCGTTGGAGGATGCCTGTCTGCGGAGTGAGAGGCGGTCGACGACTTTCCCGCGCTGTCGGCGACGGGGGTGTATGTGGTTATAATCGGAACCTGTGACACCGCGGCCGTTGGCAGGTGCCTGGATAGGCTTGTCGCTGTTGTTGTTGCTGTCATTATTATCATCAGCGGAGAAGAGGCGGGTTTCTATGTCATCTTCACGCTGCTGCTCGTTGGTGACTTCGGTCTCCCTCTCTGTCTCCTCATCAGAGAGCAGTATATCCTCGTCGAACGATTCCGAGGCATTAGAATCGCCCCCATCAAGGAGGAAAGACACCGACTCGCGGATCTCAGCGAGCGTCAAGGGCTTCTTCCTGCTAGGGTTCTCCGCCGTACGGCGCATGTGCGGCGGTGGACGGTTCAGCGCATCGGGACCTGACTGGTCAAGTGGGCGCTTGCGCTTATTATTGCCAATAGCAGAAACATTTTCCCTTTCTGCAAAATGATCGTTCGCCCCTCCTTCCTGTTGTTGTTGATGACCGCTGACAGTATTATCCTGCGACGTGTCCTGTGAGCTACTCGTGTTTCCGCCTTCCAAAAAATCCACCATCGGCACATCATTATCCACATCCCTATCTTCAATAGTGCGCAGGAAAGCAGTTTTTTTGGGATCCTCCGCTATCTGACCGATCTTCTCATCGGCCAGGAGAGCTTTACGCATCTTGGCGAATTCTCTTCTCTTCGCACGACGGCGCGCGGCGAGGCGTTCATCATCTGAATCGGAAAGGTCCAGATCATCACCGCCGGCTCCGCGCCTGCGGCGAAGAGCACCAGTAGCGATGTCCCTCATCAGCTTATTGACTTGCTGCTCGTCCTGTTGTCTTGAGTGATTTCTGTGAAATTTGGTCTTGTTAGTTTCATTTCCCATGTATTATCCAATATAAAAAGGAACACCAGGTGCAAAAACCTACGCATTAAGTGCAGCCAACTCCTTCTCATCAACCACTTCCCCACCGTCGTCATTAATCATACTAAGATCAATCTCATCCTCTTCGCCAGCACTCTCATCACTCGCCCCTCCCAACCCCGCATACTCATCCTCAGACTCCTCAGCCACCTCATCAATAACATCACGCGCCCTGCTTTTAGACTTGTCAAATGGAGTCTGCGAAGTCTTTTGCGTTTTCTTGTTCGCAGCCGTGCGCATGACATCAAAGGCACTAGATTTAACCAGGAACCCTTCATCATCGTCCTCGTCAACATCGGAAAGATCAGCCACGGGTCCACGCCGCAGAATTCTTGTCCCCCCGGTCCGTCGGGCAATGGGGGATTGATCTTCACCAACGGGCACGGTATCGATCGTCGACGTAGGTACCCGTGCATGCACATCGGTAAACCTCTTCCCCTGGTCAAATGGAGAATACACAAATCCAGCATCCTGCGTCGGTTCAGGCGCCTGGGAGTATGATGTGACCGTCCTAGCCGCAGGAGACTCTGACACCCGGTCCTCCCCATCAGCTCGTGGGTAACTCGCGAATAGATCGAGCGGGACGGAATCCTGGCCCTGGCTGTCACGAACAATTTCCTGCGAGTCTCGTTCCAGTAGAAGTTGATCAACAGGGCACTCAATATCTGGCATCCTGCGAAGCATGGCGAGAGAGTCCTCTTCGTTATCCTGGCTATCTGCGAAAGTAGCCCCGAATGCCTGCGTTAGGCCCATTAATGGGGTCCGAGAGGCTCCAAAATCTGGGAAGAGGGGTCGGGCCTGTGATCGAACGGGCGTTTCTTGTGGTATCGGAGCAACATCCACATTTCCATCTTCATCCTCGTCGTCGCTAATAACGCGCCTCCGGTTTCTCCTTGGGAAATTCCCGTCTGTCCTTTGTACTTGATGGTTGCCTGATTCACTTTCTTCACCCTCATCTTCTGAGACCTCAGCTTCGTCTGCTTCATTATGGACGAATCCAGTACCCTCTTCTCCCTCATCAACGCGCCTATCGTCTTCTTCTAATTCTTCAGCTTCCACTTCCTCGTCATCACTTACTATGATGTCCTCCCCTTCCTCTTCGTCAGACTCAGAAAGGACCTCCCCATCCGCGCCCTGGTAATCCCCATCCTCACTATCATCCAGGTCAACAGCATCAAGGTGTCTACCATCCTTCTTTGCCGCTTTCCGTTCCCTCCTCGCAATCTCCTCCGCCTGCCCTCTAGCTTTCTCCAGCAAATCCTCAACCTCATCATTAACACGCATGCGTTCCTCCGCAGTCTCTATAACAACACCCTTAGCTCTCAGCTCCTCGATCTTCTCCTGCCGCTCCTGCAATGCCTGTAGCCGCGCGCGTCGGAAAAGATTGTTATCCAACTCACTGCGCGTCATCATGGTTGTCTGTCGCTGGCGCGTCGGAGACGTGAGTTGTGCTAGGGTTCTAAGTTTTAGTAGTGTGGAGCATGACTGGTTATTACGCGTCGGCAAATTCTCAAAGACAGCGATACGACGCGTTTTCGCAGGGGAAGTGATGATTTCCAAATCAGAATCGGTGTTGTTCTTTTGACTCTCCTCTATCGACTGGCGGGAGAGGCGGATACGGATGGGTCGTGTTGTTTTGCTGGGTATTCCGGGTGCTGGGGTTACGGACGGCGCTTTCGAGGCCTGTCGCTCCGGACGAGAGGGATCAACTGGTTCGTGAGAAACCTGCGCGGATCCAGCGAATATCTCTTCCACGGATGGAATATAAATGTTGTCGTCATCCTTCGACACGCTAATTCGCTTACTGCTATCTTCGCCGGCTTCCTCGACTGGTTTGTCCTCTGAAATTCCCTCTCTCAAGGGTGAAGTAGGCGGCGTACTATGTCTAGCCTGCCCTTCCTCATGGTCTGACGAAGCGGGAGCAGAACTCGTAGCCTCGGCCGCATTTAGAGACGAGCTTTTGCTATTAAATTTAGCTAGGAAACTATCTAGCGTAATCTTTTTCCTTGTAACAGCCTGGTGGGCCAACTGCATATTGCGACTCATACGTTGCGTCTCGCGGTTCATCTCCAGCAACGCCTTCTTGCTCGCTTTACGAGCTGAGGGACGCGAATGTTGTGTTAACTTCCTCCCGGACTCCGAATCATCAGCATCGTCACTAAGGCGATCGGAGCTGAGTATTGTTTCCTGTACCTCGCTCGATCGCTGTAATCTAGCAGCTTTCTTCTCCTCTTCTAGTTGTTCGCGGGCTTCACGCTCCTTTCGCTTCTTCTCAACCAGGGCCATGAGTCTGTTATGGTTTGGTGGTCCGAGCCCCTCATCCTCATCATCTGTTTCCATTGCATCCCGGGTAGCGCCATTGTTCCTTTTCGTGGTGGGGGAATCCTGAGAAACGAACAACGGCGAAAAGGACCTGTTAGACGTTATCGAAGCAGATCTACCTCCGCAACCCGTTCTCCTCCTCATAGTCGTTTGGACCTCGTCGTCTGTCTCCATGTCATTGTCTGTAGTTGCATTCAGTTTCGGTGAACCCTCCGGCACAAAAAGTGGGGAATATGAACGACGAGATTCCCTTGCTGCTGCGGACGATCTCCTCCTTCCAACAGCGCGAACATCCTCATCCTCATCCTCATCCTCATCCTCGTCCTCAGAAGACGGAGGACGAATCCCCTTATCACTAGCAGTAGTATCTTCCCGCGCTTGGATCATTCCCTTGGAAACCCGTTCGTACGCACTCGCAGTCGTAGTCGCACTCTGCTCTACCGCTGACGTCTGCATCCGTGCCGCCATCCTCCCCTTCGGCTGCATGGGTAACTCGTCTTCCTCCTCGGCCGCATCCCCATCATCATCCCGGGGGCGATAGAAATTCGCGGCCGCAAATGGCGTGAAAAGCGCCCTCGACACAGGTTGCTTCATCTTCGCGCTATCGTTACTATTGCCGCCGGCATTAGAAGGGTGAGTTGACCTGTTAGTTTCCGTCTGCTTCTCCCTTTCCCCCTCCGAATCTGTATCCGTATCATACGCCGCCATAATAGCCCGAATCTTCGCGCCCGGCGTCAATATGACAGGCGAGTTGACGCCAGCATCATCGCTATTATGTTCACTTTGTGCATCGCGCTCTGGTGTTACGGAGGACCGCGCCGGCCGTTTGGTGGAGGGTGTATCAATTTCCATATTGTCAATTCGCAATTCCAATTCCAATTCCAATTGTCACCGTAGATTAGTGGTAGGTGGGCCTAACTTGCAAGCAAATTGAGACTCAGATTATTGGGAACGGGATTGTCCGACCTGCTCTGATCTAGCGTGCCAGTCACGGATGCGAAACGGGACCCTAATATGCTAGACTGCCATTGGGGTTGAAATATAAATGATATATAGCATTTAAACTGTGGAATAAAACGTAACGGAGAAAAAGTTACTTTGTATTAGAGCAATATTTCGTATGTTGAGAAGCGTTAATATTACGTCTCCATATGGTGAGAGTGGATGTTGGTGCTTTGCCCATTTTGGCTCCACGCGAAGCCGCGACGCGCAGGAGACGCGAGGAAGGTAACACGCTAGTCTGTTTTAGGTAAAGTATCAAATCTTATCTTATCGATAAGGAGGCTTGGCGTTTTGCTTTGGCCAAAAGCACGTGATAGGGCTGACTGCTTCCTTGCCCAGGTTCAGACCCCAGTCAGCTCAGAAGAACAATATTTATTAGTCCATGCACTCGAAAATAGAGATAGGAGGGGCAAAAAAAAACTAAGACAAGAGGCTCACTAATACAAAGAAAGGAAACTGTTTGAGCAGGGAGAGGAAAAATAGAACAAAACACTGAAAACAGACTTCTCGTCGCTCCCTCTCTTCAAATATCTATTTTCGCAGCTTCTCCCCTTTTTGTAATTTCATCTTTCCATTCTTTTTTACATCTTCTATCTCCTTCTTGTCTTCTACTGGATCGCTTTCCGGCTACAGCACTTATCAGTCCGGAAAATGGAGACAAAAAAACCCCATCATCCCAATATCCTCCAAACCCGGGAACGGATGAACGCGAGAACACAGCAGTAGGGTCTTGAGACGAGAAGCATGGGACTGGCAAAAAAAATAGGGGTATAAAAAAGAAAGAAAAGATAATAGAAAGTATCAAAGGCAACAGTCTATTGAAGATGAGCATTACCAATGCTAAATAAAATACATCAAGAGCTTGCGAAAACTAGGATTTTTACAAAGGCTTGTAAGGGGGGAGGAAGAGAAAAAAAGGTAAAATTTAACACAGGATGCAGAAGCGAACGTAAGTTAGGGCTGGGGAGGGAGAGAAACGAGACGAAGAATGGGAACAGAAAAGAGAAAGAGAACCATTCCATAGGACCAGACGCCATGAAAAAAAGTAAGAATGGCCAGATAGTTGCGAAACATTAAACATGGGGGGGGGGGGGGAATTATATACCGGAAACAACCCGCTATGTATCCATATGAAACCTATAAAAACCGATTGAAGCAAACAAAAATAGCAACCCCGAACTAGTCAACTAAAACGCCAAATAGTTGGCCCCTCTTTGTTTCGACTTGCTCTTGTCAGTGGAAGGTAAGGTAAGAGAAAAGGGGGAATTTGAAGAACGACTGTTGCCCTTTGGCACTGCCGCACGCAAAAGAGATGAAAAACTTTAGCTAGCCCACAATGTAACAAAAATTCGTTTAAATCTCAATATCAATATCGAAATCCAAAGCGGCGATATTTTCATCATCCGTGGGCCGATGGCGGATAACAGGGATTCCCCCCTTGCGCGCTGGTTTCATCGAATCACTCGCGCCCTTGGTACTAGAAGGTGTCGCGCTCGCACCATTAGGTGTAGGTGTGCTAGCTTTATTGCCATTAGGAGTGTTAGCACCCGTGATGGGTGTAACTGGACGACTCATATCGCTCGTTCCTCCGTCCTCTCCACTCTTCGGAACAAGCCGGTTCCCATGAACGTCATAATGGGTTCTCGCCTTCGTCTTCACACGCGCGAAACGGTTGGCGACAGCTTCACCACGCGCCACAGCAGCCGCGGCAAGTCGTTCGCGCCGCCGCTCCTCGAGCTGTGCACGCCGCACATTTTCAGCGTTGAGTTTCTGGTTGCGTCGGTTCAGTTCTTGCAAGCGTTCCTGTTGCGTCTTTTCCGTTGAGCGGGGCTTAACTAGACTTGTACCAAAGGCCAGCTTAGGCCCTGTAAAACGTTGTAGTTCGGCATCACACTGGGCAACCGCTGCTTCGTCACCGGCTGCGATCGCTTCCTGGCGGCGCTTCTCGAGCTGGAGACGTTCAAAAACTTTCATCTTGTTATCGTTGGTTCCCTGCCGACGGAGTTTTTCTTCTAGCTCCTCCTTTGTAAATTGGTGATTGATGAGCCGGTTGATATCCGCGACCTTGCCAGCAACCATGGACTTTGTGGCCATCTTGCAATCTTCCACTGCCATGGTTTGACGGTAGCGGTTGAATTCAGCCTAGATATACGGTTAGAATCCATCTTCCCAGTTGTTGAACTATTGATCCAACAGGATACATACATCAGTGATTGGCGAATCCGAACATGCGATGAAAGGGAACTCCCTCTCCGCCTTGCCATGGGCAAGAACTGCGTACTGAGTAGTGATGAAACTTCTACCGTTAGGCCCTTCCATGGCATAAGGCTTGCCCTCCGCGAACCCTAGCAAAACACCACGAATTAATATGTGAAGTCAATACATAGCCACAAGCGGGGGAATAATATACTTTTAATAGAACAGAGTCGGTACTCATTTTGCTGCGTTTCCTTATTGACCCCAATAACAACCCGAACGTAACAGTTGGCAATAGCACTGTCGAATCCGGGATAGAAGCAAACCTGCGCAAAATTACTGCGACCAACACGGGCACGTTGAATATCTCTCAGTTCAGCTGGTGGATCATCCCGGGGCAAAGACGGAGATCGACGACGTGGTCCCTCATCCCATTCAACATCACTCCCGCCATTAGCATCACCATCCCAAAGACCCTCATCTGGCGAACCGCTAGCTCTATCCTTTCTTCTCGAACTAGCATCCCTTCGACGCTGCTCGTCGCGTTTACCCTTCTCCTCGCGCTGGCGCTTGTACGCCTCGATCGCATCAGAAGTTTCTCCAACCTTGCGACCTCCTAGGGTAGTCTTTTGCCGTGAACTTTTGCGCTGGCTCTCTTCCATGTCCGTGGCTCCAGCTTTGCGTTTCTTCTTCTCAGCCGCACGAGCGTCCTCCCGTTCACGAGAGGCGAGGAGACGGCGGAGAGCGAGATCTTGATTATGACGGTCAACTTGCTGAGCTCTTTCGGATAGTAGTTCCTCGCGTTGTATTTCAGGCAAAGCCATCACCTCGGCCTTGTCTTTGGCGGAATAGAAGAGCTTTTCATAAGGGAAAATCGGGCCCTGATCATCGGAAGGTGGAGAGACATCGTCAGAGTCGGATTCAGACATGGAGGCGGATCGCAGAGAGGTGCGAGATCGCGAGGAAGAGGACGAGCTGAACGTAGATGGTGAGGTTAACATTTCTGCTTGGTTTGTGGCTGTGGTAGAGGGTAACGGAAGCAGAAGGTAAAGATGGCGATGAAAGACAAAATAGACAATAACAAGTGAATGTGCAGGTCAAATGTAAGCAAATAACACATACAGTTCTGCATCATCATCATCGTCTCTGGCGTTTCTTGGCCTCTTAGTGCGCGAAGAGTGCTTTCCACCTCTCCTTCTCGAAACTTCGCCGCTCTCTTCCTCAGACTCTTCCCCTCCTTGTTGGCCGGGCGAGGCACGTTTTGGCTGGGTAGCGGTAGTTTCCTCGTCCGAGGAATCATCCCCTCCCGCAAGCGCCAAGATTTCTGCGTCAATATCCGACATAGCTTAGGGTAGCTGCGAGAGAACTGGAGGTGCAAGTCGGTTGTGAGATTTAGAGAAGCCGGGATCCAGGGACGGGCAGCACTCTCCTTTTGACGATCACGACCCGAAACTTGGTCCCTCACAGCGAAACAAACAGAGGGAGGATCAAAATCCCATGTATAAACGTTATAAAGGCGATAATGCCTAGAAATATTGGTCTTTCGTGAAAAGGGGTATCGCAAGCCAGGGACGGACTCCCGTCTGCAAAAGTGAAAGGCAGATAAGCCAGACAGCCACCAACCAAAAGGCCAGTCGGGTCGGTTCAAGAGGTTTAAAGCAGTGTATGTGTTGCGTATATCCGGTTATATATTCAACATATATAGATCCGTGTATCCGGAAACAGTCGCTTTGGTCAAAAATTTTTTGCAGTGTCGAGTCTCGCCGTCGCGCTCATTCATGACGTTCAATGGCGGGAGACGCGGCTTATTCAGCTATTTCCTCATGCAGTTAGCGTAAATATTACAGTCATGTGACTCTCATCATGGCACCGCTTATCTTATATTATCCACCATGTAATACGGGTTCACATTTTAAATACTCATACCGGCAGTAGATACGTGACGCTATTCTCGGTCAGCTCCGCTAGAAACACGGCAACTCACCAGGTACTATATATATTCCTGACTTCCAATGGACCTCATTCCCGCCATCAGACAGTCATTGTCTGTATGCAGACCATCCCTCCGAGCTCCGACCCATCATCCCATATACGTCGTCCCACGCCTACTAGCCCAACACCAACACCACCAACAAGCACGTCGCAACATTTCCACGACCTCAGATACGTCACGGAACGTACATTCAAGCAATGGCGGCCCTGCTGAAACGACAACAAGCGGCGGTAGCCACCGGCCCAAAAGACGTATGGTCCTCACCCAAAAACAGCGGGACTTCCTCGACAGCGCCCTCAGAGTAAACCAAGCTGGTGAACTGGCTGCGACCCTCATCTACGCCGCCCAAACACCCCCAGTCACCCGCTCCCACCCCCATCTCCGCCCTCTAATGAAACACATGTATGACCAGGAAGCTGGCCATTTCACCACCTTCAACGACCTCGTCGCCAAACACCGTGTGCGCCCTACAGCGATGTATCCTATCTGGGAAGTCGCCGCGACAACACTGGGCTGGGCGACGGGAATAATGGGCCGGGAAGCAGCAATGGCATGTACAGAAGCCGTTGAGACAGAAATCGGCACGCATTATAATGACCAGGTGCGGGAAATTCTGGGATGGTTTGAAGATGCGCGGGAACGCGGGGAAGAGCCGGATGAGGAATTGGTGGAGCTTGTGGACACGCTGAGACGGATCCGGGATGAAGAGTTGGAGCATTTAGATCATGCTGTGGAGAACGATGCGAAGGACGCCAGGCCGTATGATCCGCTTGTTAATGTTATTCGGTTGGGCTGTAGGGCTGCGATTCAAATTAGCCAGCGGGTCTGAGAAGTTGACATCTGTATGGACGTGTCGGTTTGGGATATAAACTCATGTCCGAGTTCTATCCTTTCATCGTACCCTTGCATCCTAGGAGACTATATGCCGGCATCTCGACGCCAGCGATTCCCTTTTTCGACTTCGTGGTCGACCACGGAAATTACCAAGCCGTTTTTGGCTATCAATCTGCAAAGTATGCATCTGGGATCCAGGTACATTTCAACGAATTTCCACACATCAGGACAACTTACCGCAGACCAGCCGACCCTCGCCCGCCGCAGTGATTGCGAGAACCACCGGGATGACGGCGTGCTACATACCCTCTAACTATTCTCGACACTCCACATGACACGGCGCTTATATTATTTCCTGTAACATATTATTTTTCTCTTGTATCATATAATCTAACGAAACCCATTATATCCCTTCTATTCCGTTGCGTGTTGCAAGGGTATTTTTGCACATCCTTCTTTCCTTAGCTCCGTTCAACATGTATTGATTATATGTGTTTAGAATCTACAAGTCCCTATACTGAATAAATAGATCACATGAGCCGCATTTGGTTACTGCCGTATCTCATTCAGCCGTTGCTATCTAGTGGGCAAGGGGTGTCCGGTCAACCCAGATGGGTAAACATAATTGTATGTCCATCCCCACATTGCCAGGTATATCGTATAGGAGTGGCTAAGCAATGTTCAATGTGTATTTCTAGATAGTCGGTAAATAAACATGAAGTTGCAATCAGCGCAATAGGGAAAGAAGGAGAAAAAAAAAAAAAAAAAAAAAAAAAAAAAAAAAAAAAAAAACACCAACTACGGAAAAATAAACGCCGAAACGAACTCCATAACCCGCCGTGGGACTAATCATAGCAATGCAGTACCCCAGTTGTAGCTGATCAAGCACCTGTCTCGATACTTCTCGCCTGACCATCAAAACCAAAGGTACCAACCCAACCTCACCCCAGAGTGAAATAGAAACCCCCTGCCCCCATCAATCAATTCTCCACCTCTCCCTGCCTCTCAAGAAACTTCATAAAACCCCCCGAAAGCCTCACAAGCTGCCTGTAAACAACCTCAAACCCTTCTTTACCGCCATAATACGGATCCCCCACCTCCTCCCCGCCACCCACTTTCTCCACAACACTCCCATCCGGCAGAAAGTCACCCATAAGCCTTACCTGCGCAACGTGCCCATCCCCATCCCCATCCCCATCTCCCTTACCTCCCTTGCCACCTTTACCCCTACCCACAGCCCTGCCCCTCTCATGCATCAAGTCGTCCAAATTGTCCCCGTCCATCGCCAATATGTAATCGAACGCGAAGAAATCGTCCCGGCGGATCTTGCGCGCGGCATGCGTGTAGCTAGTGATACCGTGGTCGCGGAGGGTGGACATGGTGCGCGGATCGGGCTGGGAGTTGACGTGGTATGCGCCCGTGCCGGCGGAGTCGATTGTGGAGAATTTCGGCGCGGAGGGGGCTGTTGCTGCTGCGGTGGAGGTTATTTGGTGGCGAAAGATGGCTTCGGCCATGGGGGAGCGGCCTAGCTCAAGTGGAGGGGGGGGATGTTAGTATTAATAGGAAAGCAAGCGGGGAAAAGCCTTTGGGGGAATGGGGAGGGGGGCGTACAGATGTTTCCGAGACAAACGAAGAGGACGGATACCGGCTTTGAACCAGCGGGATTGGAGGAGGTGGTGGAGGGGTTATCCGGGGCCATTGTTGGAAATGGCTAACTACCAGATGTCTAACTTTCTTGTGTAGGTAGGTAGTACAGTACTGCGTGAGTTACTTTTGTGCTTTAGAACGCGGTGTCTGAGGCTGTGTTGAGTATGGTTGTTGCTGGCGGGGGTTTGACTGTGGTGGGTGGGGGGAGATATATACATGACGGAAAAAATTGTGCAGCTTGTTCTCGATATCTTACCTTATCAGATAAAATCATCAGGAAACATTGTGCGACGTTCAACACAATGAGAATGAGTGAGAGGAGGGTATTCAAAGAAAGGAAATAGCAATAATTCCAAATATCCAATTTTAAACTGTGTTGTTAAAAATGTTAAAAGGGTCAGGTAATGGACACGAACGCATTTCTGTGCTAGAGGGAGGGACCACACATCTGAATCTACATGTTATCAATCTCAGCTGTATGTACTTTGTATGCTGGAGAGTCATTCAGGTCTCTGTCCTGATATACTAGCATAATCAAGTGCAGAGAAAATAAACAGAATAGACAATCAGAGACTGATACTGAAAGATAGAACAGAGGTAAGCAGAGTCTTTAATTTAGTATTGTGGCAGACATATTACTTGTGAAAACAGAATTTTCCCAGGCCCCCCTGAAAATTAGTAGCAAAACACCACCAAAAAATCAAAATATCTGCATTTCTCTAGAATCATTCAATATCATTCAATACACATCTTTTTCAATCAAATATCATTCAAATACATGTCTTTCTTACCTTTATCATCAATATGCCACCTCAACTCTGTGATTTCACTATTAATGAGATTGTACATCTTCTTAAGAATGATTATATACCTGCTGAGATTACACAAAACATTGATTGTTATCTAACTACTGTATATTAAATTCAATGAAATCTTTGCTATTTTGAAACTGTTAGAGAACTCTGTTCAACATGTGATGTAAAGTTAAAAATTATATCAGATATCTTATCAGAATTGAAGAGTTAGTTAGATACTCAGTTTAATGAAGATTTTGAAGCTTTTTTACATCATATAGTTGAGAACTTCATGAGAGAAAAAGATATAAAAGAATATTTCAGATCTACTTATATAGAATAGTATTATAATAATTAGAAAGATTCAGATTACAATTCATTATAATATAAATTTAAAAGTGAAAGTAGTATAAGATCTATTCTCATCACTATAAATAGTGAATAAAGATGATTTGAATTTCTGTAATTTTATCTATTATAATGAACTTTTTAATTCATCTCTTATAATTTGAAATATACTCTTGTTAATATTCATATGAAGTAACTGTTCCCTTGTCAATCAATTAAAGTATTCATTAAATTAAGGTATTGAACTGCTTTGAATTAGAGATGAAACAGCAGATTCAATAAAAGATTTCAACAGTGTATTTAATAAAAGATTCAACAGTGAATTCAATGAAAGATTTTAACAGTGAATTTGATAAAAGATTCAATAATGAATTTGATGAAAGATTTCAATAGTGAATTTGATAAAAGATTTCAATAGTGAATTTAATGAAAGATTTCAACAGTGTATTCAATAAAAGATTTCAACAGTGAATTTGATGAAAGATTCAACAGTGATGTATTTAATGAAAGATTTAACAGTAAATTTAATGAAAGATTCAATAATGAATTTAATAAAAGATTTCAATAATGAATTTAATGAAAGATTTCAACAGTAAATTTAATAAAAGATTTTAACAGTGTATTTGATGAAAGATTTTAATAGTGAATTTAATGAAAGATTTCAACAGTGTATTTAATGAAAGATTTTAATAGTGAATTTGATGAAAGATTTCAACAGTGTATTTAATGAAAGATTCAATAACAGATTCAATGAAAGATTTAATAGTGAATTTAATAAAAGATTTTAATAATGAATTTAATAAAAGATTTAATAGTGAATTCAATGAAAGATTTCAATGATGAATTTAATAAAAGATTTAACAGTGAATTCAATAAAAGATTTCAACAGTGTATTTAATAAAAGATTGAACAGTGAATTCAATGAAAGATTCAATAATGAATTCAATGAAAGATTTCAACAGTGAATTTAATGAAAGATTTCAATAGTGTATTCAATGAAAGATTTAACAGTGAATTTAATAAAAGATTCAATAGTGAATTCAATAAAAGATTTCAATGATGAATTTAATGAAAGATTTAACAGTGAATTTAATGAAAGATTTCAATAGTGAATTTAATAAAAGATTTCAATAATGAATTTGATGAAAGATTTAACAGTGAATTCAATGAAAGATTCAATAATGAATTTAATGAAAGATTCAATAATAAATTCAATAAAAGATTTAATAATGAATTCAATAAAAGATTTCAACAGTGAATTTGATAAAAGATTTAATAGTAAATTTGATAAAAGATTTCAATAATGAATTCAATGAAAGATTTCAACAGTGTATTCAATGAAAAATTTAACAGTGAATTTAATAAAAGATTTAACAGTGAATTCAATGAAAGATTTTAATAGTGAATTTAATAAAAGATTTCAATGATGAATTTAATGAAAGATTTCAACAGTGTATTTAATGAAAGATTTCAACAGTGAATTTAATGAAAGATTTCAATAGTGAATTTAATGAAAGATTTCAACAGTGAATTTAATGAAAGATTCAATAATGAATTCAATGAAAGATTCAACAGTAAATTCAATGAAAGATTTCAATAGTGAATTCAATGAAAGATTTTAATAGTAAATTTAATAAAAGATTTTAACAGTGAATTTAATGAAAGATTCAACAGTGAATTTGATAAAAGATTTAATAATGAATTTAATAAAAGATTCAATAATGAATTTAATAAAAGATTTTAACAGTGAATTTAATAAAAGATTTAACAGTGAATTTAATAAAAGATTTCAATGATGAATTTAATGAAAGATTTCAACAGTGTATTTAATAGAAGATTCAACAGTGAATTTAATAAAAGATTCAATAATAAATTTAATAAAAGATTTCAACAGTGAATTTAATAAAAGATTCAATAATAAATTTGATAAAAGATTTCAATGATAAATTTAATGAAAGATTTCAACAGTGAATTTAATAAAAGATTTAATAATGAATTCAATGAAAGATTCAATGATGAATTTAATAAAAGATTTTAACAGTAGATTTAATAGAAGATTCAACAGTGAATTCAATAAAAGATTTCAACAGTGAATTTGTAAGAATAAGTACTTGCAGGTGATTATTCAGATGTTTGCAGCTTGATATGATATGTACTGTTAACTACTAGAAGTATTCACAGTAGAAAGATAAAATGTAGAGATTAAATGTATAATAGTATTTAAGCTGAGTTATAAATAGTATTTGTGAACTTCAGTCTATATAGTTATATGTAGTCAAGAGCTGCTAGCTCTATTAATTACATAAGAGATAGAAATAGAGATAAAGAATCTGTAAAAAGTGAGATTTCTTACATACTCTTCTCTCTCTAAGACTTTGTTCACAAAGTCTTTCACTGAGTGACTTCATAGTCAGCTCAGCACTGCAGTGATACTCACTAAAAACTCTTTATATCTATAAAAAATCTCAGTGAGAAAAAATCCCTTGTTACTATAAAGAGAAAAAAGTCTGTCACTCAGTTTCTTATTCTGTGAGATTTTTTATAATCTATAGATTCTTCTCTGACTATCATACAGATTCATCTTATATCTTTCATATAGAAGAGTTTCAGTTAACTCTTAATTATTTTCATAAGATTCTTATATAATCATTACATAGATTCATCTCACAGATGAATCACTCTCTATGAGATTATTCTTATTAAAGAGAAATATTCATGAGTTAATCTTTTATTCATTCTTATAAATTATTGCTCTTTGACACTGTAGAATTGTAAGGAATTTTTCATTCTTTCATCAACTCTGTAGAATTGTAGAATCAAGATATCTGCAGTCTGCAATTACTCTTTATAGTTATATAGAAAGATTCAGATTTGTGATTTATAATTACTCTTATTTACTAGAGTGATCTGACTATTCTGTGAAATCATTCACAGTGTAAGTAAATCTCTTTAAAGTAGTATAAATATCTCAGATCTGTCTGTGAAACTTCATCTTCTTTTCTCTTTTTTCATAACAGCTCTCATTCTTATAAACTGTGAGTATTCTCATTCATCTGTAAAGTGTTTTCACTCAGATGACAGAAAGAGAGTGTTTCTGATAATATCTATGTATTAATTCAAGAACTTCTTAAGAATAAAAATTTTCAATTTCAATATCTTTATAAACAATGTCTGACTGTTACTGAGCTTCTTATAAGTATTCTTATAACTTCTCTGATCACTTTTTACTGACTGATGAAGCAGAGACACTATCACTTATAATCATATCTTCACTTCTCTCAGTCTCATCATTATACCTGATCTTCAGATCAGTGACTTATCTCATCTCTCTTTCAGACCAGTCTCTGACTTTAAGTAGTATAGTTTCTCTCTTTGCTGTAAGTCTTCTTATAAGTAATTTCTTACAGACTCTAGCTAATAGTTCTTACAAAGCTCTCAGTATTATCAGTATCTTCTGCAGCTCTGCAGGCCTACAATCACCTCTTCTCTGTCTGTATAATCTCTGATCAGATATATGTAAATATGTCTAGATTCTCTATCAATGATTCTCACACTGCAGCGCATTTCTGCAATCTCATTATTAATGAGAGATAAGTTCTCAGATATCTGTAAAATCTGAGTAATTAAGATAATATGAATATTATGAATTTGTAATAAGAGTTAGTCTGAGCAGATGAGTTCTCTCTCTATATCTTAATTATTTTCAGACTGAATACTTCAGTACAACTGAGAAAGTGAACTCAGCTTTATAAGAGATATCTGATCACATGTGCAGATGATCAGCTCTCAAGATTCTGTTATAACTATATATACTCTGATATTCAGCTTCTCTGAAGTCTGTGCATTTCTAACAGTCTTCATATCAAATGTAATAATTATCTGTACTGTAAGTATAATACTCTCTGCTTCTTTAAAGAGAAAAATTGATAGTTATGAGAGATTTAAGTGTCACAGATGTTAATAATATAAGTGTGAATTTTCTTTATTTTTTCTTTATTAGTCTCTAAATTGTATTCACAGCTCTGTTTATTTTCTTATTTTTTAGCTTTAATAAGAACATAATTTCTTCTTCTCTTGTGTACATCATGAACTGTTCATCTCAGTAGAAACTCATTATCTTATAGACTAGAATTTATAAATAACAGTGTTAATATCTTTATTACAATCAGGTTCTTAGTGAAGACTATATCATTCTGACTTATCAGAATTTATAATATGAAAGTCATGTCTCAGCTTCTGCAGATGTCTTATCTACTCAGATAATTCTTAAGTGAACTCATTCATCTTGTCAGAATACTCTTATCACTGAATCTTGAATCAGAGCTTGTAATCTTACTTCTCTGAGTTAACAATCTCTTTGACCTGATATTCTCTTTCACTCTCTAGTACTTTGTAGATAGAGTAATGAGTCACAGAGTTCTCTTCTGAGAATTTCTTATATTCATGAAGTAAAGAGATATAAAAAATATTATATATCTATA